ATAGAGATGGCTAGTGGTAAGACTCTTCCAGGCCTCTTAAAAGTAGAGACAAAAAGTGTTTTCCACTGCAGAGAGCTGACTTCATGGACAGGGAAGGGCCACTACCAGTGGGAACAGCAGAGCACTCCTGAGCACCTCACCATAGCAGGTGCCTCATGTTACAAACAACAGAAAACAGATCAATACTTAAGGTAAATGGCTATAATTACACCTTGCTGTCTGTGGGGACAAAGAACTAGAATCTTATCAAGGTTACAATTGCCTTGGTGGTATTGCTCCCCACTCATCATAAAACTCTGACTGGAAAGAAGAAAACAGGAAGTCAGCTAAAGACTATGTCCACCCCATGAATAAGTAGTAAAGCTGCCCAGCACAGTAATTCCAATGGATGATATTTCTGTAAAAAATATAACTGTGCTTTGTGATGATCTCTTAAAATGCTAGTCAAACTTCCTCTCTGTGTTTTAGTTTTAAACATATTTATATGTTGTTGTGGCTTCAGAGAAGCTATTCCAAAGTAGAATGTTTCGTTGAGTTTATGGTTATTTAGGAACAGGACCTTGATATGTAGACCAAGCTGGTCTTCAGTTTGTGATTCTCCTGCCTCAGCCTCCAATGTGTAGGGATTTATGTCTGTAGTACCATATTGACTCTTTTTCATGAGCCGGATTTAAATGCCCTACCAAGGTTAGTTGGCAGCACTTGGTTTTGTTCACTCTGATCAAGAAGCTTACTGGACTGTGTGTGAGCTTGTGAAGCATGTGTGAGGCTCTGGGTCTTATCCTTAGCACTGAGAATGGAAGAAAGAAGAGAGAGAGAGAGAGAGAGAGAGAGAGAGAGAGAGAAGGAAGAGTTCACAGTTAAAAGAAATAAACACCTACCTGATCAAGTCTCTTCCTGAACTCACAGACTCCTCAGACTCAAGGGGAAATTCACCTATGACATGCAGATCCTGTGCAACCTCATTCTAAAATACTGATTTTCCCATGGGTATACAAATAGCCCCACTTCTTTCCAATTCCAGGTGTTCGCACTGCCCAGAAAGCTCTTACTTGGTACCTGGTCCACTCTAGCTCTCAACAGCTCAGTCCAGCCCCAAGGGAGCAAATGGGCTTTCAGACAGTCCTAGGACCTTTGTCTTTAGATCCCTGTTGCGTCCCAGACATAACAGAACCAGGCTGCTCCCACTGTGCTCTTCCTGTATTTCCTTAGAACTCCTAAGAGTTAATGGTGGGGGCTCACTGTGTATCAAGATCTCTGTCTGCTCCTTCAGAGGACC